TACCATCTTGGTCATTCACTTGACATCTTCCAACAAAACTATAGGAAACACCAGTAAGTGACTGGAAATTCTGACACTTCATGACAAAGTGGAAACTAAAGCAACCTTGAATTACACAAGTCTCATGCTTTAGAACAGTTTTTGTAATAAAAATCTGGCTGTGAGCCATACGCTACTGAAGGAGACTTTTACCCTCTTCCCAGGAGTACAAGATGCAAATAAGACAACCCCATTCACAAGCCATGTGTACCAGAAGGTGCTAAGTTTAAAATGAGGAATAGTGCATCGTCTAAGTTACCAACTCATCTGCCAAACTAAATTCAATGAGTTAAAGGGGCAGCATTCTCTTCCTCTTCCCCCCCCAATTAAACCAGTCTAGAAATGCTCTCAAAAAATAAACTTCTTATAAATACATTTGCAACTCTTCCCCTTGCATAATTTCTGTACATTTAACCAGCTGGGCTGCAGCCCATCTTAACATCTTTAACCAGTAGCATACTCAAATGTCCACAACACTAAGGAAAATTATGACCCTGAAACACTTCAAAGGGAGAGAGTTAGCATGCAGCATACTCAGCTTCTCAGTGATCACTTCCTGCTTGTAAAATAAAGTATTGAGTAAGTCTTAAAAAACAGGTTTCAGAGTAGCAGCCGTGTTAGTCTGTATCCGCAAAAAGAACAGGAGTACTTGTGGCACCTTAGAGACTAACAAATTAACTAAGGTGCCACAAGTACTCCTGTTCTTAAAAAACAGTGCATTTAATTAGCCCTTTTTTGTAAAATTAGTGGAAAATCCCAGCAAGTACTCACGCAACCATAAAAATGTGCCTTAAGCCACCAGTCACTCAAGTTTGGTTTTAAACCTGATTTCGCAGCATTAAGCACTTTCATAAAGGATATATAAATATTCAGAAGGCTTTCACCACCTAAAATATTTTTTAAAAGCCTGTTTATAAAATACAGGTGAAATTGCACATGGTCTGCATCAGGAAGCACTTGGGTATCAGTGCTAACATCTATTGACAGTCCCTGGCCTACTACCACCCTTTAAAAGCTGATTAAGATGGAAACATCCACACACTTAACTTCTCACAAAGCTAGAACAGAGGGAGCTAGTGGCCAACATTTAAAAAACCAAAAAGGCATACCTGCAGTTGGCAGCTAAATAATTCAGGGACTTAAGACAGTGCCTAACCAAGTGGTTGGGGAAGGAAGCAAACAATATGGAAAGTATCCACAGGTAAATGCAATATTGTTTCCCAAATGTATACAGTCTGAAGAGAAATTCAATTTATAATGCTCACACCAGAACATGGCAGGTATTCATGATGTAGTGAGAAATATTTGAAGGCTTGGCTACATCACTTGCCCAGGTGACAAGAAAATAGCATGCCCTCCCAAGTGTGCTTAGATAAAAACTTTGATACTGAAGCTGAATTTTTGCATAGTTTGGGATGTGTAGATCAATTGTATAGCAGAAGCCCCCTCTTTGTTGTAGGTAGAGGCTTGCATGCTGCACAGGATCAGATTCACCTGAACTTTATACACATTAACTTACTTTGGTTTTCGCTATTCCTGTTTGATGAACACTGCCATTCCATCATTGCAGCATGCTTGAATTTTTAAAGCTTTCCAAAATCCCTACAAGGAATCAAGTTTACTTGAAAGCATCATGTGTACAAGTAAAAATGGCAGGTCTATCTATAAATAAACAGAAGCAGGGTAACAGTCCAGCCCAACTGATTTTATCTGAATTCAAATAATCTAAAGAAGCACTTTTAGGCTGCTAGAGCTGTTCACCTAATATTCTCATTCATAAAACAAATATGAAAAAGCAGCACCACCAGCTATTTCTAGAGAACTGGGAGACATTGATACTGATGTGAGGGAGAGAAGAAATGATGGATTCTCTCCCTGCATAACTCCCAGATGCCAGGAAGGTGGGATTTGCCACTGGTAAATACTAAAACAAAATAATACAGGGTTTATTTTTTTTATTTTAAGTCTCCAGAAGAATAAATTCGGTATTTTTCAGTAAATATAAATTATCATTTTGCTCTTGCAAAATTTCTCTTTACCAGAGCTTTGAGATACAGTTCATTGCAAAAATGTGAACTGGACGTTACAGTATCTGACAAGTATAATCAAGGTACTTTTAAAAATATAAGTCATTTCATGTGACTCCACAGGGGAGCAATGTGTCATTCTATAATTGTGTCCTACAGGCCGTTACCCAAGGAAGCCAGCACTGAAAAGAAATTGGTCTATTTATTCTGCTGAAGAAAATGCTTTGTAAAAACATCCAGCTCGTTTTCAAGGTGAAGGGCTTTGTTTCTGTAAAACAAACAAGAGAAAAGTGATTGATCCACATGTAGCAATACAATACCCCAGGCTTATTTGCATGCATCCAAACTCTCACACGAGCCTTCAGCCTCTTTACTTTTTAGTAATGAAATTCAGGACATGAGAAATCTTACTTAGACCACCTGACTCAGAAGAGCACTGTAACAAGTGCTTATGTGCTCTGCCCAGTCAGGGTTTGAGATTCAGAGTCCATCTACACTGCAAACCAAACCAAACCAAACCACACACAAATCTCAAAGCCCAGAGCAACTGACTTGGGGTAGCAGTGTAGTTTCCACTCAGGCTGGAGCCCGGGGAGGGGTCTCAGAGCTCAGACTCCAGCAGGAACATCTCCACTATTATTTTTAGTCCTGTAGCATGAGCCCCATGACCCTGCATCAGTTGACTCAGGCTCTGAGACTTGCTGCAGTGTTGTGGTTTTTTTGCGGTGTAGACATACCTTTAAACCTCAGGATGCTGACTAATCTGAGTATGTAACACCTTAGCGAGGGGCTAGTTCCTAAGCGTTTCACAAAGGCATGAGGAATCACTGTGCTAGAAGGGACCGTGGATTTCTTGGTGCTGGGAGCAAGAACACCCCCTCCCCCCCACCATTCCTTGTAGCTCTGCTCTCCCAGTTCCTGTCTACATTAGCAAAACTTTCTAAGAACGTCTCACCGTTGCTACCACCCTTCAGCATCTCTGCTGGCACCACTGGGAGTCCTGGGATATATGGACTACTGGCAATGCTTTCAACGCCATTCAATCCGAGAAGCCCATGTAGGGTTACACAACAAAGGGTTAAAAACACACCGAAATTGTTTACACGAGGGCTCCTGTAGTTAATGCTGGTTGAGATAAACCCCTTTTAACTGACATTTTTAGCAGAGCAATTTTAGCAGCCTGAGGACAGTGTGCAGCACCCAATGGCAAGCCAAGGGTGGAGAGAAAACGGACACAAAGCCAACTGTTGCCCCACTGGCTGCTAGGTGAGGAGACAAAAGGGTGCATTGTCGGCCTGCTGGAAGGGGTCGGGGTCCACTGGCACTGGGAAGGCATCTCCAAAAGAGAAAGGGGTCCTGCTTGGATGAGCGAGAAGAGGTGGGATGAAATACAGGAGCTGAATTTACCCTACTCCCAGCTAAGAGTATTCCTATGGAGAGAGCTTTGTACCCAAGCCCTGCTTAGGATCTCATGCCCCATCTCCAAGGGGAAAAAAGTTGCTCAGGCAGGGAAGTGACATGTATTGTTAGAGCTTGATAAAGTATTCTTGAGAAATCCATTTTTACTGGGCAGAGAAAAGGAACCAGGCACAGAGGGAGAAGAAGATCAACATGAGGATGGGGTGATATTTTGTTAGACTTTCCCCACTTCCCCCAGAGAAAACACAACTGGTGAACATAACTTTAAAGGAACACAACTGCTGCTACTGGTGTACGAGCATAGGTGCAGGAATCCGCGCCACCCCCCCCCCCCCAGTTCCCAGCAGTGGCCCCAACCTTGCCCCCCCCGAGACACGGCCCTGCTCCTGGCTCCAGCTTGGGGGCAGACAGGCGTAAGGGGGGCTGGCTTCCAGCACCCCACTATTAAAAGTGTTTCAGTGCCACTGTGTACAAGATACATATATTACCATACTTTACCCTGCACCACAGTTTCAAGGCACATGTCAGAATGCTCATTAACAGCTAAAAACAACAGCAAACACACACACACACACACACACACACACATTTTATGATACAGTACTGCCATGACTACAGACATGGGGGTGAAATCTCGGTCCCACTGAAGTCAATGGCAAAGCTCACAAACTTCAGTGGAGCCAGGATTTCAGTTTCTCTCCAGCTGGCTAGTTCAAGATTTCTCTCTCAAGCAACTGGCTGAGTCAATACAAAAGGATCATTACCTTAGGTGCTTTGAGTTACTCTGTATTTTCTCTAACTGATCTATTTCTTTGGACAGCCTAGCAATTTCTTCTTCCAGGTTTTTCTGAGTAACGTCGACTTGCTGACACAGTCTAGCAAAGGTAGTGGCCATTTCTCTAAAGGAAAACAAGTTTGTAATCACAGTTTACCATACTTTGTGTTACACTGCACTTCAGAGTCCACGAGCAGAACAATGCAATCAGCCACCAACTGCTATACACAATTGCATAAAGACAGACAGCACGAGGAAGAATGAGCAAAGGGACGATCTCTTGAAACATCAATAGAACAGACACACTGTGGTGGTGGCATTTTTAGGGTCATGAAAAAATAATACAAAATAGACCTTGTTTTAAATATATGCTGATGTTGCTACTGCCGGCTTCTGACTCCGAAGCTGGAGACTGTTCTCAGAGTAGTGGATTTTTGCTATTAACTTGGGGGTAGATTCACAAAGGGATGTAGGTGTTGCAATGCCTGACTCCTAGGTGTCCTGCTGCTTAGTGGAATTCTCAGCTCCAAGTTAGGTGCCAGGCTTCCCAAACAATGCATGAGAAGAGTTAGATGCCTAAGAAAGGGATTCTCAGAATCAAGTTGCTGAGTAGGGAGCCACCTAAATTCGCTAAGAATGAAATGCAGTGGACTGGGTTCAGGCTTAGGCCTGGGTTCACAAGGGAATTTGGGTGCCTGACAGGCTGAAGGGAGGGGCCTATCTATGTTTGGGATTCTCAGCTGTGAAGCCTCTCCTGGAGTTGGGCACCTAGGTCAAATCAGCTCTGGGGCTGGGGGCAGGAGGGCAAAGAGGGGGGCTCTATATCTGATATCCCAGAGATTAGAGCACTCACCTGGGATGTGGAAACCCAGATTACAATCCCTAGTATTTAGGTCTCTTACCTGCCAGGTGAGTGCCCTGACCGCTTGGGTTTTAGAACCTTAACCAGTTTAACTATAGGCAGTGTTCTGAAAGGACTGCTTCCCTCACTCCTCAGGTGTCTCTCAGGTTATTGATTACTCTGGAATGTCTCTCCATCTCTCCTGTTGGAGATGGTCCATTTCGTATAAATAATTAAATAGCCATTGGACAAGAGATAAAGGGAGTGACTCGATAGCTTGGTGGTTAGGGTTTTCACTTGAACCCAACTCTCCCACCTCCAAATCAGGCAGAGGAGGGATTCAAACTTGGATCTCCCATGTCCCACATGAGTGCCTTAGTTGCCAGACTATGGGGTATTCTGGGGACACCCACCAGCTGTCTGTTATGTGTGAGGCATGATCCGATAGGCATACTCTGAGCACACTTCCTGGATCAGGACAACAGGTGGGAGAATACCTCGTTTGAGAAAACCACAGGGACTTTGCTATGAGTGAGGGCTGTGAGCAACTAGTTAGCAGCATCAAGCCTTTAGGCACGGTTCCCACCACTAGGCATGTGCAAAGCTGTTGGACTTAAGCTCTTAGGCCTAAGTAGCTTTCTCAATCTAGCCCTTAGCATCTGAATGAGTTTATCGTGAAACACGGAACAAGTGTCACCAACATTCAAATTGAGCAAACTGACAGCTTTGATAGAGTCTACATTCATTTGACTTTTCTCATCGCTTCAAACCGTGTTCACCACATTGAACGCTCCTTCCACTAACTGACTGTCCCTGGTAAATACAGAGCCAGTTCTGTTTGGAACAACAATACCAAACAAACATTTTGATAGATTAAATGAAAAACCAGGACAATTCAAACTGGCTCAGAAAATGTTCCTGGGACACCGAGACATCTTACAAAACCTCCAGGACTGTCCCGACAGAACGGAGATGTCTGGTTACTCGAGGAGTGAGGGAAGCAGTCCTTTCAGAACACTGAATATAGTGAAACTGGTGAAGGTTCTAAAAGCCAAGCCATCATCCTGAGTCTTAAGTGATTCAGTGTTAGTGAAAAGGATGCGACTATGGCTGCCTATTAGAACAGAGACGTACTCTCATATTTATATAATAAGCTGCTTGGCAGAGAAACTGCACATAGAGATTGAGAATCATTCTAGATCCTCAGATGGATACAAGTTGGGGTAAGAATTTCACATTCTGCTGTTTTGCCAGGGTAAGCACAGTTATCAGGCACAAATTAACTGTAGGACTTCAAATAATTATGCTGCAATACCCATATGAGTTGTCTCTTTTGTTATTGTGTAAATCCCCCATTTATCCAAAAGAAACAGACCATTTAAAAGGGCATCTTAAACACAAGATAAAAGGCTTAAATGTTACAGGCCAAGTTCATCCCTGGCATAACTTAATCCACTTCAGCCCGATTTAGATGGAATTACGCTAGGCATGAATCTGTCCCACCATCCTTTTTCCATAAGTGCTTTTTATTGTACAAGTCAAAACGTCTCTGAATGATGGGAAAAGAAGGGCATTATTTTCATCTCTCGGCAACAGCATGAATATTTTTTGCTGCTAAGTGCTAATGAAAAATTGCATAATGTAAGTGCTTAGGCACTAAGGCAGCTTGCTGGCGACTGCTCTTAAACACGAATTGGACTAGTTTAAAGTCAAGTAAAGAGTAAGAATGCGCAAACCAAGGTTAACAAAACTACAGCTCCAGAAAAGTGATGCTTTTTCTGTGAAACAATGTCCATAAAATTCCTTCATTAAAAATAAGCATTTTGTTAAAGGGGCTCAATCAACTTAAAAGCCACGCTTCTGAGAAGTTCCCCTTCCCCCTTGTTCAACCACCACCTAAGGCTACTGTAACTGAAAGAATATTTTTTCCCTCCACTTTGTGTATAGTCATTTTCTCTCTCCCCCGGTACAGTCAGAAAGGTAATCGTGGCTATGTGAGGTCTTTACACGAACAGTGAAGTGCAAAACAGGACTGTAACACCATACAAAATATGAAAGGGGGATTCTTTGCCACCATAGTAATCGACCCAACTTTAGCTCATTTTTTTAAATTGAATCGATTTCAAGTTGACCTTTAAACCTTCTTACTTAGCAACTTTTCAAGTCTCTATTGTAACTTTCATTGATAAATACATGCACATAGATTATCCACTGAAATGTATTTCCTGTATTAGTGACTACAGTGATAAGTATAATACTTACTGTTGCACTTGATGGCTGCAATTTGCACTAGTAAAACTGACAATCATCTGCAATTTTTCAGTAGCATAGTTTACAAACTGCTGTTTAAAGGCTCTCTCTTTTGCCTTAGTTGTCCAGGTTAGTCTCTCATAGAGATACAATACTCCATACATGCTTAGGGAAAGACAGATGAGTTTCCAGCCTACAGTTCTCCAAACCTGAAAAAGAAGCATCTTTTCATGACCTGAGCTGAGTTATGTGACAGTCGCTCTATGGAATGTATTTTGTCAGAGTACGGTCAGAATTAGAAGAAGATAGAAAAGTGTCAACTTCCTGTTTAAGGTTTTTGCTCTCTTTGTACCTTTCTGTCCGACTGGATTAACAAAACATGTTTTTCATCCAGGTAGCA